TTGTCCCATATCATAGGTGCGCGCGAATCCCGAGACTTACGGTCTCCGTCCCCGATTATGGCTCCTGCACACCACGCAATGTCACCGGCCAGGGCTCGAACCCAGACCGCTTGATCCGGAGTCAAGTGCACCAACCGTGAGACCACCGCACCTCCACAAGTTACACAAACAAACAAAGCTACACAAACAAACAAAGCCACCAACGCTAGATAAGGTTATTCATCCTGTATTCTTGGATATTTTGATCTATTTTGGCTTTCCAAATCAATTTTTTTTATCTTCAGCATTGATTCCCTGCATGTGAAATATGTTGATTAAAAAGAACAAATATCTGCTGGTCGTCTTTCGATCAACCGTGGCTATTGTTCAGAAATCACTTAAATTTGTGTCGCTGACGACACGTGTTCCGTAAGACCCTCTCTTTGTTCGCAAACAAACTTAACATTACTAACATAATTGCTCTTCGATCATGGTTAGCGAGACTAATATAATTAATTTAACCGTTGTAGTCTCTTAGCTGCAGAATGATTTCTTTTTACGACCGTTAGCTTTGAAAGAGGAGTTTTTTTTTTGCGAGCAAACAGGTACGTGAAGGAGTTGGCACGCAAAGTTGCTGCTTTTTACGCTCATTAACACTTTCACGTTTGTTAATTGTTCAAGTCAATATCCAATTACAAGTGGACATGCGCCCCTATTTGATACACAAAGGGCGTAATTTCTTTCCTTAATAGCAAGTGTAGACTAAACGAGGTGTTTTTGTATACAAAAACGTGTAACTCTTTCGCTTTTATGTCTGTTATTAGACGCACATTACAAGTGAATTGAACTCAAAGTGCACACGCTCATAAGACAGTGTACTTAACCTCAACAGGTCTTGTCTGTTCTTGAAGTATGACAGGGACGGTTAACGTGAACACTCGTTTAGCCAGGAAAATCACATTGATGATAATCGTCCTGGCTCTAGGTAAGTTAATTCATGGAGGTTTTTGGATTTATATTTTGTTAGTCGGTTGGCACTACGCATCAAATTTACCATGTTATCCCCTGCTAGTTAAAACTGATGCTAATTTTTATCTGTAGAGCAAAAGACATATCTCATGTTATGAGCGATACTTTTTATTACCAAGCCCTAGTTGTTCGAAGGGTAGGAAACGCTATCCACCGGAGAAATCGCTATCAAGTTCATAAGTGTTAAGAAAACAAACCGCGCTATCCACTAGATAGTGATTTATCCGGTGGAAAGCATTATCTGAACAACCCGAGCCAGTCTGCCTGGTCAAAAATACTGCTAACAGTACTTTGATTAACAGTATCAGCACGGGAAGTGCATTAGAAGGAAGAACACAGAAGGAAGAAAGATAAGTGATGGGCCGAATAACAAGAGAAATGGATAAAAATAAATAGAGGAAGTAACTGTTTGGCTCCACCTTATATTACGCCCAAGGAAGCGAGTTTCACGCCAACGAAGTGGAAGTGATCGAATCTG